ATTTGATTGCCAGTTACTGTACTCAGCAGATTTTCAAACATTCTTTTATTTCTCTCTTTGGAGTATTATTCACACAATGCCAGCAGGTCTGTACTTGGGCCCAGTTTCTTTAGAACCACTTTTGTTGAGTTGCTAATTCTGTTTGTGCCTAACAGGAAGTAACTGCGAGAGTATTTATGCCCCTGTTTGAGTGCCCATCAAGGCGTTGTATAACGAATAGAACCAAGGGGAATCTTATTCTTCAACTCAGGGCATCAAAGTTCTTGAAGTTTCAGGAGGTACTTCATGCTGATTCGGTCATAATTGTAATATGATTTTGCATTTTTCCCCAATGGCGTTTATCATCCTTCTGTGATCTGTTTGGTTGTGGTTTGATTGCAGGCCAAGATACAAGAATTGTCTGAACATGTTCCAAAAGGTCATATTCCACGGACAATGACTGTTCACTTCAGGGGTGAACTCACAAGAAAGGTTGGCTGCTTTATGTCAATTTTCATAAAGTATTTTAAGGATAAACTTACAGTTTTTAAATGAATCTTCCGCAATGGAAAGAGGGAAAGGGGCGGTACATTTCCAATTTGAATAATTGCATGATTGCAGGGAGTGATGACATCCTGCTTCTTCTACTTGACTGATTATATACTATTTTCTTAAAGTTTTGATGTGCCTCTACCTGAATTAGGTAGCTCCGGGTGATGTCGTTGAACTATCTGGCATTTTTCTTCCTATTCCTTACACTGGTTATAGAGCAATGCGGGCTGGCTTAGTTGCAGATACTTACTTAGAAGCCATGTCTATCACACACCATAAGAAAAGATATGAAGAGTAAGCCATTCTTCTGTTCCTATTTTTAGTTTTGTCATCTTATGCACTGTGTGAATCAGTTCTCAACTGAAAAAAGTCATTTAGACTTTTGTAATGAACTTAATTATTTTTCAAACATCCAGGCTTCAACTATTAACATAGAGTTTATCTAGTGCTTTTAGTGCAGTTTTCGGTAAACAGTAAACTAAGAGTTGTTCTGTACCTACTTAGATAAACCTCTTAAATTTTAGGTGATAAAAGGTGTACTGTGTGTACTAAGTTGTGCTCTTCTGCAGGTATGAACTTGTAGGAGATGAGGAAGAGCAAATTGTACGTTTAGCTGATGATGGTGACATTTATAATAAGTTGGCACGATCTTTGGCACCTGAAATTTATGGGCATGAAGATATCAAAAAGGCTTTACTTCTGCTTCTAGTGGGTGCCCCTCACAGGAAACTAAAAGATGGAATGAAGGTAAATGACAGATTGTCTATAAGATTATGGATAGTATTTGGATATATTCTCTATAGTAAAATGACAGATTGTCAGTCCCCTTTTCTTGCTTCCCTTTCCTCTCAACCCTCCTTGACCAGGCTCTTACGGGTTCTGGTCACTGGTTAATGGTTATGCAAATTGAGTTTCAGTTTGCAATCTGTCTCCCTCCACTGTAAAATGGGATTCCAAGCTCATATTCTCTTTTTAGGACATTTCCCAAGCTCATATTCATGTCTGTGATAAACAGACTGGTCATGGTGTGTTGTATCATTTACATTATCGCACTACAAGGGTCATGATACATTTTCTGTTAAAATGCAGATTAGAGGAGATTTACATATTTGTTTGATGGGTGATCCTGGAGTTGCAAAGAGCCAGCTTCTTAAGCACATAATTAATGTAGCACCCAGGGGAGTTTATACAACCGGTAAAGGAAGCAGTGGAGTTGGTCTAACTGCTGCTGTTCAGAAAGATCCTGTCACAAATGAAATGGTCCTCGAAGGAGGAGCATTGGTGAGATACATATGCTTCTTTCAGTTATAGGTGTTTTCAGCTATTTTTATCTTCAAATGTTATACGAGTGGAAGAGAGCATACACAACAGTAAATACTTGTGGAATACTTGCATGATACTCAGACTACCAAGTTGCCTCATTAGCCATATTTCAAAGAATGCCCTTTCCTGTTAACTTCTAATTGGAATCAGAAATAAGGTTTCCTTGCATCATGTCAATGTTTAATTCAAGACTGTTTCCAAACAGTTACTTCCTAGCCTGTCTGTAGAAGCCAATCTGTAACCAACTCAAAATAAAATCCCTAATTCAATCAGATTCCCCATCGTTCTCCATTAGGCTTCCTATCTGATTGGTTTTCGAAGGTTTCTGGGTGTTAAATTATGTAAGAATTAACTCATTTCAGGTGCTAGCGGATATGGGCATTTGTGCAATTGATGAATTTGATAAGATGGATGAATTAGATCGTACAGCCATACATGAAGTTATGGAGCAGCAGACAGTCAGCATTGCCAAGGCTGGGATCACTACATCTTTGAATGCAAGAACGGCTGTTCTTGCTGCAGCTAATCCAGCGTGGTACAAATCTTTCTACCTCTTATAACCTGGGTTTATTTAGGGCATTGGTCCCTGTTGCTTCTCTTCTAATTTATGTTGCTCTAATTATGTGGCAGTTTTTCTCCTTCGGGCAGCTAGCCTTCTTTGTGTTATATTCTGGTCTATATGAAAACTCTTACTTATTATATATATTTTTGAAGGGGGAGATATGACCTACGTAGAACTCCAGCTGAAAACATTAATCTTCCACCAGCCCTTTTGTCAAGATTTGATCTTTTATGGTTAATTCTGGATCGAGCAGATATGGATAGTGATCTTGAGATGGCTAGGCATGTCGTCTATGTCCACCAGAATAAAGAATCTCCTGCTCTTGGCTTCACTCCACTTGAACCATCTGTTCTTCGGTAAATCTAATAGTACTTTTCAACATAGAAAGCCCAGTAGTAGTAACGATTTCAGAATATTCGCTTTGTTTTTAGGCTTTCTTAATAGATCACTTATACATGCAAATGAGTAAAAGAGCACTGTATAGAACTTGTAAAGCTCCCTAATTTTTGTGTGCAAGTCTATTGATTAGTGGGACTTTCTGATACCATACTTTCCTTTCTTTTTCAAAAAATTTCAGCGCATATATTTCTGCTGCAAGAAGATTGTCTCCTTCAGTTCCGCAGGAACTCGAGGAGTATATTGCTAGTGCCTACTCTAGCATTCGGCAAGAAGAAGCTAAATCTAATGCTCCCCACTCCTATACAACTGTGAGGACCCTGCTCAGTATTCTTCGAATATCAGCTGTAAGTCCTGTTTTTCATTTGTTCTCTTGTTATGTGCTTCCATAATACATGCTGCGTATCCAATATAATGAAATGGAAAGAAATGTTTCAACAATATATGCTATGTATCAAAATTGAATGAAGTGGCAAGAAATGGTGTCTAACTGTCTACATAAGGCATAGGGTTTGGGGGTGTCAGATTGATGTCCTGCAGTCAACATCAGGCAGAGGGACAGTTTTTAAGTGTTTGGACCTGAATGGTGCATACTTAACCTGCATTCTTTCTGGATATGGACTGGGTTAAAAATGTGAAAAGATAATATGTATGAGCATGTTGTTTGAACTGGCTTTACCCAGTTAAGTGGGTGGTCTGCCTTAAAACTGTCATCCATAGTGTGGAACAATAGATGCTGGTAACAATATTTTTACCCATTTGATGGGTTGCTCAAGAAACGTCATCCATAAGTAGAGGAAGGATATCTAGTATGGTACAAATATATTTAACAAATGCCAGTCTTTTTTGGGCATAAGGTTTAGGGTATATGGATTAAACAAGCTTTACTTGGTTTGTTTAATCGGTTGCTTAAAAAGTGTCATCTAGAGAAGGGAGCAATAGATGCTTATGGGGTGTATTGACTACTTAAAAGACAAACTGATTTGTTTCATGTACAGGCATTAGCAAGACTGCGATTTTCTGAAACTGTGGCTCAAAGTGATGTGGATGAGGCACTAAGGCTAATGCAGATGTCAAAGTTCTCTTTGTACTCAGATGATCGCCAGAAATCTGGTCTGGATGCTATCTCCGATATCTATTCAATTTTGCGAGATGAAGCTGCCAGGACTGACAAGTTGGATGTGAGCTATGCACGTGCACTAAATTGGATTTCTAGGAAGGTTAGATTTTTCAAATTTGCAAAGCATCTTGTGATGTTCAGAAAGTTGATTGATTTTCAACCTATACGTGGATTTAATGCAGAAAATACAACTGTAGTACCTATCATGTCAAAATAGAATAAAACTTAAAAGTGATAAGAATGTAGATCATACTATAGAACTTCGACAGAGAATCATAACATTACTAAAATAAAAATTCTGAAACTCAAATAATTGGAGGAAATTTTTTATAATCCTGTCCTTAATTCTATCTTCTTTGTCTTAAGCCCTGTGGAACGTTTGCTTTGGAACAGGGTTACAGTGAAGCCCAACTGAAAGAATGTTTGGAGGAATACGCAGCCTTGAATGTGTGGCAGATAAACCCCCTTACTTTTGACATCCGATTTATTGATGCCTGATATGCTTTGCAGTAGATTCCTCAGACGGCTGCAATCCCTTGACACAGGAGTGTTCTTGACCCTATACATTTGAAAGATTTGTGAGTGGGAAGAATACTCAACCTGGGAAGAGAGATGAATTAGGCAGTTGGAGCGAAGTGATTCAGTTAGCATTGTTGACTAGCCGAAATGAATGGAGCGAAGTGTTTTATATTTCGTGTGTACGTTGCCTCGCTCTTTTCAATTTTCATGTGGTGTGCAACTTGGGAGTTGGGATACATGATACGTTTCTCTAATGCATGCATCGTATTAGCAAAAATTAACTGAGTGCAATTGCTTCGGTTGTATTAGGATTATGCATTGCGGTGGAAAAATATTAATGCATTAGGATTATGCTTCAATTGCTTTGGTTGTTTTTCATAAGGGTCATGCTAGGGAGACCAACTTTAAATACTAATTTATGTACCATCTCTCTAATAGAGGTGGAGCCCACCAATACAATGGGTCTCATACTCTATTAGAGAGATGGTACACAAGTTGGTATCTAAAGTTGGTCTCCTTAGCATTTTCCTTTTTGTTTTATAAGTGTTGCTAAACGAATCCTAAAATTAACTAGGTACGTCTTATTACCAAACTATTTATTGAATTATTACTTTATCCTAATATAAAATGGCCAAAAATAATATATTGAATTGTGCCCTAATGTGTACACCCTCCTTAAAACTTGTCGCATATCAATTGTTATAACTATGATCAACTCTTTAATTTTAAAAATTTTAAAAATTTCAAAGTATTTAAAAACTACAAAAAATATTTATAAATAAAAACTCTCTCTTCTTCCCGACCCATCCTACCCTCAACAACCTTAGTCATCATTTCTCCTTCAACTTCGACAGCATCTCATTAAAACCCAATTCTCAAATGCAACAATCCAATCCCAATCCCAATTCATATGTTTTCAGAAAACCCATGGTGGTCGTGGTGGAGAACTACAAGGGTTTAAGGTATAGAAATTTAGTTCCTAGTTATCATAGATGGAAGAATTTGTCATCCAACTTTTGTAAATAAGTAAATACACTAGGGTTTAGGCAACTAAATCAATTGTGATTTGTCATTTAACCTTTTTTTAACTTTTTTGTTGTTGGAGGTCTTCTAACTTTCAAGCAATAATAATTGAAAATATATTTGAAATTCGAATTACTGAAATGGATGGTATACTTTGAGAAATTTTTATATGTTTCGGATACACCACGTGACTGGTGTACCATCCAATAAACATATGACATGTGGAACTATTGTCCAACTTATTGCATTTCTTTTTATAACATGTGGCGGGCTGCATTGCAAATATTCAATATGTCTTCCGTCTATTGGATGGTACACCAATCATATGGTGTACCCGAAACACCCAAAAAGTACTCGTATACTTGGCATTTCCATATTAGGCGCCCTGACTATCAAAGTTGGGCGCGCGGATATCGAATCGCACTTAAGTATTTCCATTCTGTTTTTTTCAGTCAAGAAGTATTTCCATTCTGAGGAAATAAAAAATGAAAAAGGAAATTACCCATTTATTATTCATTAATGTAATTATGCCAAATTTCTGAGAATGAATAGGATTCTTTCTTCCTCCATTTCGGGTAGCATGAATGAGCATCCTGAATGATGTTCACTGGAAACCAAATATAAGACCCCTAGATGGAAAGAATTCGACTAAACCCCAAACGAAGATATAATATAAAATAAATTATAAATTCGGAGGTCGGAGGTCGGAGGTCGGACTTGGGACAAGCTCTTCTCTACCTCGGAAGCCTAAAGCCCGCTTTTAGC